TAATGCCATAGTTCGCTAGGAAGTATGGACGATCTGGACGTTGGGAAGAGAAGTATCGTGCTAATCATGGACTTCTTATTTTAATCATAATTTTGACTTTTTGACTACTTACTTTGTTTACTACTGAATCGAGGGAAGCTCAGAGAATTTACCATGTGTGTTAAATTTTACTATAACCCTTCAACCCGCAAAATGTCTCCAATCAAATGCTACCTTAAATTGTGTACCTTTTCGTACAAGAATTCGTGGACACTTTGTTAAAAGACTGCGCATGCGATTCAAAGATTGTAAACATCTTAGTTTCTATGAGTTTTGATCTTAATGGTCAGCTGCATAGTCTTTTTCTTTTTGATTGAGAGTACTGCTGTTGGTCTAGGTGTACTCTTACATGTGTTGATTAGAAACAGGTTCTCCCTGCAGATTTGCAAACATCAATGCCAATTACTAAGCATTTGAAGGATAACGAGTTCCATAATTTTTGACATGATACAAATGTGTTCCGTACTGTAAACAAACTGCATAGTTTTCTCTGGAAAGACGTCGCGTACATATGGAAAGAGAATCCGATAGTTGTAAAGGTTAATGCTGACTTTAATTAATTAGGCTTTTCTCCAGTTCATCAATAAGCACACAATGCGTCACATGCAAATATTCATGGTCAAGTCTTATACTTAAGGGAATGCACCTTAATTGAAAATCTTTCCTGTAATGAGATTGTTGGAGTGTGAGATTTTGAGTTTATTTTCTCATAACAGGACCGCAATTAGCGTAAATTGCATTGCTATCAGAATAGTTTTCGCTTAAAATTTTCAAAATCATTAAATATCTTGCAGGCCTGTGTCACGTTCGGCTTCATCTTTATCTCCAAACTCAAGCGACCCAGATCGAAGGCTTAGGCGACAAATTGCCAACTGCAATGAACGCCGTCGTATGCAATCCATCAATGCTGGTTTCCAATCGCTGCGAGCGCTGTTGCCGCGAAAGGTAATGGTAATATTTTGACTGTTTTATTATCTCTGCTTGGTGAGAATACTTACTTTTTGCAGGAAGGTGAGAAACTGTCAAAAGCTGCGATACTACAACATACCGCAGACCTCATCCAGCAGCTTCAGAGTGAGCGTTCACGTTATCTTGATAACGATGAAGCAGGGGGCAAGAAGCCGAAGATCGAAAGTGAGTCTTCTTTTCACCGTATCATAACCGGTTTATAAAAGAACCAATACTCATTTGTTCACGTTTAGTCGAAGATTGTGCTGAATTCGACCAACAACGCTCGATGATAGATAGCCTCCAGATGGCGTTGGAACGTGAGCGCACCGCTCGTATGTTCCTCGAACAACAGCTGAATCAAATGCGGGAGATGTACCAGAATGGATTGAGCACGGCGGTCACTCCAACCTCTACTAGCCCAATTCAGCAACGTCAGCAACAGCTACCACAGCAACCGCAGCCGACACCTATAGTGAACTCTGCGCCGAAAATCACACCAACTACAATCAATGTACATGATTCGGTGATACGACCAACACCGCTAATAGCTCCGATTTCGGGTGAGTCAATGAAAAGAATAAACTCAGTATTTCTACACATTTCTTACTCTTTTCTTTTATACTTTGAATTTTGGATCTTTGGAATTTTTAGCAAGGAATTTAATCTACATATCACAATACATACATG